ATGTCAATGTCGTCGTCTCCGAAAGCAAGAACCTGCTGGATGTTTGCGGGAAGTCGTCGCAGCCAGATTTGATAAAAGAGACGTTTGTCGATTTCTCTTCCGGCAACTAGGCTTTGCATATGCCTCATGAGTTGCGATGGGGTTTTATCCCCTAACTCAACATTGCTTAACAGGCGATCGAGTGCTTGCCTATCTGAAAGCGAAGTGCATCGCAGTACCTCTTCCTTCAACTTGTCGTAAGGTGCTTCCGTGCTGGGTTGAACGATGTATTGCCGTACCTGCTCGGCGACTTCGTCTGGTAGTACTGTACTCAAAATGTCAAATTTAGCTGTCTGTGACGTGAGCTTATTGCTAGCCATATAATGTTCCAGTCGTGCAAACCAAAGATGAGGGTCTCTGGGCTTAAAAACTGGTACAGTAAGAGAAATAGTACTAACAGATCCCAGCTCTAAGTTATCAGAGGTATTGGAAGACATGTTACAATTCGTAAAAAAAATGGTTTAAGAGTAGGAAAATGGCAAAATTTGTGCACAATAAGAATATGGCAAAACAGAAAAAATGCAATGCAGGTGCTTACCACAAATTACTGCAGGTTGTGCTATGAGCAAACACAAAAATGAGTTCGAATTGTTTAATAAATATATAGATCCGCGTGAGTTCGAATTGTTTAATAAATATATAGATCCGCGAAAGTTAGAGTTTTAATAATCCAGCAAGTGTACGACGCGTTGAGGTCAAAAAGTTGTCGTCGTCGGAGTCAGCAATTTGTCGTCGAGGTCAGCTAGTTATCGTTGGGCTCACCAATTTGTTGCGTGTTCTATTTGACTAAATGAGCGTACACGTATTTCCTAGTACTTCTTCACGTTTATCAATGTGCGCAGACGTTGTGGCTACTCGACGCCCACAACGTAAAATCAGAAGGCACTTGTGAAGAGTATAATCGTGTATTATAGCCGTAGTCAAATTTCAAAAAAGTATCAAGGTAACGTTCAACAGTAAATTGACAAATGTTTACGAAGTACATATAAAATCGGTATGTGTAAACATATAATATGAGTATGCAAATTAGATTAAAAACGTATGTTTATAGTTGGTACAGGGGTACTACACACTTTACTTACCTTGGTCATCGTTACATAAATGTAAGCACCTGACTATTTCGCCATCCACCTAAGCCTTTTAAGAACTATAATTGTTCAAATTATCTAATTATTTCCTCTGACTACTTCATCTTTATTTACATGCAATCATTGTGCAAATATTTTATTTTCCTTTGATTACCCATCGCATAATTAACCTGAGCACTTGTTTTTTCTTAATTGCGCTTTATTTTTCCGAAATTCTGCATTGCACAATCCATGTGTTGCAACGACTTCTACCTTTTAATTGTGTGTGTGTGTGTGTGTTAATTTTCTTCATTAATTATCCCCCTATTCACATGTTGACATGTTGTTGGCTAATTACTATCAACAAGCATATGAGTGCCACGCAATTGGCAAATTGTTGTGGTATATTTATTAGAGTAGAGCCACAGATCAGGATCTAATTGGAAAGTAAATATACCTTCGCTCAATCCTTTCGCCCTTTAAATACTTTTGTTAATCAATAGGGATCGGCTCTCCATAAGGAATAGCCTAAGAAATAAAATATAAGCATGATAAGTCATCTTAAAGTATTACTGCGTCGTATACGCTTCAACAACATGTATCATCTACCTGGAGAAGCAGTTACATTCGGAGAACAGGAGGAAGAGCCTATGTCAGATTCTTCGAACATGTACTGAAAAGCCGTCGATTAAAGAAGCCGATTAGTTGAACTAGTCAATCACCAGAAACTCTGATTGACACACAGTCAACTTGTTGATGATAATTAAAAGACAAAGACAGCAATAGCTTCCGGTTTGCTGGTGTTATTGCAGTGAAACGGCCGAAGACTGACTTCCGCGTAAATACAATCCGTCGTTGGAATTAAGCTGCCATGATAACTCTGTCCTAAGGAACTATATTTTTTCGGTTGCATCATTTTGCTTACCCTGTGTTTCCTTTGACTTTTATAAAAGACTTAGTTTTGATCCTCACAGTTCCACTGACTCTACTACATCAGCATCGTTTCATTAGACTTGTAAGACACGTTGGATTTCTGAATTGTTTCCATCTCCTGCGTCCTACTCCCTGAATTTTATGAAATCTGGTTTATCAGACTTATTTTTAATATTGCCACATACCTAACGGCTAATTTATTTGCTTTCTTTGCGATGAACTTTCATTGAAAACTTCCTATTGGATAGTTCATGAGTAGTGATTTAAGATGACTTATTGTCCTTTTATTTTTTTTTAATGTCTTTATGACGTCCTTACGGTATTCCCTATGAGGGACTAATTCCTACTGATAAACAAAAGTATGTGAAAATCGTATTGTAACTCGTTTTATCAAGTTTTACAGTTTATAATCAATGTTGAATAGAAGCTTGGGAATAAAATAGATCCGTGTTACTCCACACTACTGTTTGTCCCTACTGTTTTGAAATTTTAGATTCTTGTTTATCGGACGGCTGTATATAGGTCAAAGATAACTACTAACTTGTAACTTCTTTTCAACAACTCATCTAGAATGCTTATTAACTTTCAAGAGTTGGTTTGTAGGGATTTCATTTTTCTCACTGTTAGGCGTATGCAAATGCAGATAGGTGGTAGATGTTAGGTAACATTTCATTTTTTTGAATTACAATTAAATGAATTTCACAAACTTTATACACAAATTCATTTTTAAAAAATTTGAAAAGAGAAAGAAGGAACATTAGTGCAGAATAACACAGACTCATTTTATTTCAAAGGTTCTTCTCAGCTGCACGTACAACCTGTAAGACTTAATAAAAACGCGTTAAAATACAATTTTCACATACTTTTGTCTCAATATAGAAAAAATCCCCATTTAGACATTTAGAAGGCAAAACGATTGAGCGAAGGCATATTTACTTCTTAATTAGATTCTCATCCCTGACTCTAATATTGTTGGTATTAGATGGTTGGAGGTAATCAGCAGGAAGCCTTGCCGGGGCCCAGGTTTCGTGCTAGTTGGAACTCATCATCAGAGTGCATCTGCAACCCCGAAGGAACTCATGTCCCTCTTGCGTTTCGAACCCGCGTCACTCAGTGACGCAGTCACAGACCTCACCACTGAGCTATTCAGGCTCGCAATTCACCTCCTGTAGGACTGTACTAAATATTTTTGATTGAACACACTACTTACTGATCAGTGTCCAATCAACAATATCTACTCTAATATACATAGCATTGTTATAACGGTGGGGGAATTTAATGAGGACGTTGTCGCCTTGTTCTGTCTGCGCCTGACTAATATGCCTATCTGCTTCTGGTACCTTCGATTCAGCGAACCACGCAAATATCAAAAGACAAAGTCTGGTCTCTGACTGTATATTGTAGTACAACAACTACGACTACGACAAAGAAACTTATTTAGGAAATGGTATTTATACATTTTTACAACCAATACAGACAGCTAACAGTATTTGAAATAATCGGTCGTAATAGTCAATAACAAAATGCGTGGGAAATGATGATATATCACATATGCGAGATTAACAGTCGTTAAGATAATTGAACAATAACAAAATGCGTGGGAAATGATGATATATCACATATGCGAGATTAACAGTCGTTAAGATAATTGAACAATTACAAAGTGCGTGGGATCCTATCACCTCTCCCCATTAAAAGTGTAGGACTTGCTTTTTGAATCTGTTTGAAAAGGCTTTGGAGCTCTTCTTTGTCAAGTTGAACTTCGCGTGGTACTGGAAAGAGTGTGATCTGCGTCCCGGGCTTGCCGCTGCGGAAGGATTTGGCGTCGTACGATAATGCGGCAAGAATCTATCCAAAATTTCTTCTGTTGTTCCCTCCCCCTTTGGTTTTGCATAAGCACGCAGGCGTTGCAAGAGAGACTGATCAGATACATGTCCGGGAACAACGTTCTTTGGTGAGGACGAAACATTAGAGCATACTGAATTTAATGGTACATTGAAGATATGGAGCTTGTCTAACCAGTCAAGACCAAGCAAATTCAAATGATGGTAGTTTGTGACGTAACATACACCACTGAACTGATGCTCACCAAACTGAACCTGGCAATTTATCTCACACACGAGTTTCAGTATATCTCCAGAGGCATTCTTAGCGACATGCTCGGTCGGCAGAATCTGTGGGCACCCAAGTTTGCGCCACGTAGTTCGGGAAATTAAGGTGATGTCTGATGCCGTATCCAACTGAAGGCGAATAGATTTGCCGTTAATACGTAGTGTAATGTACTTACGTTTGCTGGCGAAATCGACTTTGGAAGTTGTGAAAATGGTCTGTACTCGAGGAGATTGTTTCGGCTTGAAACGACTACTTCTGTTTTTCACCGAAGAATTTTTCTGTGGTGGACAGTAACCCTTTTTATGTCCAAAACGGTGACAATTACGGCATTTATGTTTCTTGAAAGGACAGAACTTGACAAAATGCCACGAACCACAGTGCCAGCACACAGAAGGAGGTTTAGCTGAATTCTGAGACTGACGTGCTGTGTGCTTAACGGTGATCGGAGGACTTTTCATTGCGTTAATTGAACCAAATTCAGACGACTGTCGTTTACACTCCACCATAGCAGTATCGTGCTTCAAGTTGATTAAGCGTTGGCATTCTGCTGTCACCATTTGTAAAGTCATTTTCGGGTCTTGTTCCACGAGTGACAGAAGTCGAGTTCTTATGTCACTATCTTCTGGGTTCTTCAACCCACAATTAAAAAACAAACACTTGAACTGATCTGATGTCATTTCGTGCGGTTTGAACCTTTCGCATTCCTTGTTCACTTTGCCAGGGTAAGTGACATAATCATCGGAAGGCATTTTTGTCAACTGAAAAAATTGATACCGAATATTAAACATGGATGACTGTTCACCAAAGATTTGTGATAAAACGGTGACTGTCTCATCAAATGATAACTCACGTGGGTTCTTAGGCAGAATGAAGTTAACATATCTGTTGTGCTCAACAGTTCCAAGTTTTCTTAGTAACAATCGGACTTTGGCAGCATCATCAAATATGTAGCATTTAATACGGAAAACGTCTTCATAACGATTGAACCATGCATCAAATACAAGACCAGATATTGGATCGTAGTTGAACTCACTGATGGAATTTGAGATGCTTTCATATTTGTCTGAATAAGATATTGATGGAACTTGAATGGACAGCTTCTGAGTGAGGGCTTCGATTAATTTTAGTTGAGCTGCTTCATTCTGAACTTGCTGCTGCTGCAAGATAGATTCGAGATCGTCCAGAGAGATAGACATTGTAATTGGGTTGTAATTAACACAGTCAAAAATGTTCTATAGCCGCGCTGAACAGAATAAAACCCGTCGTTGCTTGCTTGTTATAACTGCAATGAATGAAAGTAAACCCCAATTTGTTATAACGGTAGGGGAATTTAATGAGGACGTTGTCGCCTTGTTCTGTCTGCGCCTGACTAATATGCCTATCTGCTTCTGGTACCTTCGATTCAGCGAACCACGCAAATATCAAAAGACAAAGTCTGGTCTCTGACTGTATATTGTAGTACAACAACTACGACTACGACAAAGAAACTTATTTAGGAAATGGTATTTATACATTTTTACAACCAATACAGACAGCTAACAGTATTTGAAATAATCGGTCGTAATAGTCAATAACAAAATGCGTGGGAAATGATGATATATCACATATGCGAGATTAACAGTCGTTAAGATAATTGAACAATAACAAAATGCGTGGGAAATGATGATATATCACATATGCGAGATTAACAGTCGTTAAAATAATTGAACAATAACAAAGTGTGCGGATCCTATCAAGCATATAATACAATACAAAAATCTTTACCAATCTAGTGGCACTGATATCTTTGTTCACAATAATTAGTCAGCATCAACACGTCGAGGAGGTGATAATTAACCCAGAAAACTAATACACACAATTAAGGGTTAGAAATGATCACAACAAGTGGGTTGCATAATGCGTAATTTCGGAGAAAATGTAGAGTTGTTAAGAAATAAACAAGTGTTTGGGTTGATTACATAACAGGTAGTTTCATGAACAATGGCTTTTTCGGAGCTGTTGCCATACTGGCTTGTTTTGGTGTTAAATTTATATTTTGTTAGCAATGAACTGATCTGGATAACGATTTTTTTACGAATTATTTCTGTAATAATTTTAAGGTCCTCATTATGAGACGGAGACAGAGAGTTGTTTGAACAAATTATCCCAGCTCGATGAGCCAAACACTATGGTTTAATACTACCTCGGTGATGTTAATCAGCGAGATAGTAACACAGTGCCTGAAGAATGCAGTTAAAAGAGTACTCGATGCAGGAGACGTACGTTGTCTCTTCACTACTACTCTTTCACTTTTGAGAATCAAGGATAAACTACCTAATTTTGCCTCCTCTATGTGAATCAACCAGTTTGACTACACCTGCAAAGTGAACTACATTGGGCGTATAGTTAAATAAGTTCATCACCGTATTTCCGAACATCATCTCGCCTCCACATCAAGGGGTAAAACCTGTGTGTTCACAAGAAATTCGTATAACCACTTTCCTTACCTTGGTCATCGTTACATAAATGTAAGCACCTGACTATTTCGCCATCCACCTAAGCCTTTTAAGAACTATAATTGTTCAAATTATCTAATTATTTCCTCTGACTACTTCATCTTTATTTACATGCAATCATTGTGCAAATATTTTATTTTCCTTTGATTACCCATCGCATAATTAACCTGAGCACTTGTTTTTTCTTAATTGCGCTTTATTTTTCCGAAATTCTGCATTGCACAATCCATGTGTTGCAACGACTTCTACCTTTTAATTGTGTGTGTGTGTGTGTGTGTTAATTTTCTTCATTAATTATCCCCCTATTCACATGTTGACATGTTGTTGGCTAATTACTATCAACAAGCATATGAGTGCCACGCAATTGGCAAATTGTTGTGGTATATTTATTAGAGTAGAGCCACAGATCAGGATCTAATTGGAAAGTAAATATACCTTCGCTCAATCCTTTCGCCCTTTAAATACTTTTGTTAATCAATAGGGATCGGCTCTCCATAAGGAATAGCCTAAGAAATAAAATATAAGCATGATAAGTCATCTTAAAGTATTACTGCGTCGTATACGCTTCAACAACATGTATCATCTACCTGGAGAAGCAGTTACATTCGGAGAACAGGAGGAAGAGCCTATGTCAGATTCTTCGAACATGTACTGAAAAGCCGTCGATTAAAGAAGCCGATTAGTTGAACTAGTCAATCACCAGAAACTCTGATTGACACACAGTCAACTTGTTGATGATAATTAAAAGACAAAGACAGCAATAGCTTCCGGTTTGCTGGTGTTATTGCAGTGAAACGGCCGAAGACTGACTTCCGCGTAAATACAATCCGTCGTTGGAATTAAGCTGCCATGATAACTCTGTCCTAAGGAACTATATTTTTTCGGTTGCATCATTTTGCTTACCCTGTGTTTCCTTTGACTTTTATAAAAGACTTAGTTTTGATCCTCACAGTTCCACTGACTCTACTACATCAGCATCGTTTCATTAGACTTGTAAGACACGTTGGATTTCTGAATTGTTTCCATCTCCTGCGTCCTACTCCCTGAATTTTATGAAATCTGGTTTATCAGACTTATTTTTAATATTGCCACATACCTAACGGCTAATTTATTTGCTTTCTTTGCGATGAACTTTCATTGAAAACTTCCTATTGGATAGTTCATGAGTAGTGATTTAAGATGACTTATTGTCCTTTTATTTTTTTTTAATGTCTTTATGACGTCCTTACGGTATTCCCTATGAGGGACTAATTCCTACTGATAAACAAAAGTATGTGAAAATCGTATTGTAACTCGTTTTATCAAGTTTTACAGTTTATAATCAATGTTGAATAGAAGCTTGGGAATAAAATAGATCCGTGTTACTCCACACTACTGTTTGTCCCTACTGTTTTGAAATTTTAGATTCTTGTTTATCGGACGGCTGTATATAGGTCAAAGATAACTACTAACTTGTAACTTCTTTTCAACAACTCATCTAGAATGCTTATTAACTTTCAAGAGTTGGTTTGTAGGGATTTCATTTTTCTCACTGTTAGGCGTATGCAAATGCAGATAGGTGGTAGATGTTAGGTAACATTTCATTTTTTTGAATTACAATTAAATGAATTTCACAAACTTTATACACAAATTCATTTTTAAAAAATTTGAAAAGAGAAAGAAGGAACATTAGTGCAGAATAACACAGACTCATTTTATTTCAAAGGTTCTTCTCAGCTGCACGTACAACCTGTAAGACTTAATAAAAACGCGTTAAAATACAATTTTCACATACTTTTGTCTCAATATAGAAAAAATCCCCATTTAGACATTTAGAAGGCAAAACGATTGAGCGAAGGCATATTTACTTCTTAATTAGATTCTCATCCCTGACTCTAATATTGTTGGTATTAGATGGTTGGAGGTAATCAGCAGGAAGCCTTGCCGGGGCCCAGGTTTCGTGCTAGTTGGAACTCATCATCAGAGTGCATCTGCAACCCCGAAGGAACTCATGTCCCTCTTGCGTTTCGAACCCGCGTCACTCAGTGACGCAGTCACAGACCTCACCACTGAGCTATTCAGGCTCGCAATTCACCTCCTGTAGGACTGTACTAAATATTTTTGATTGAACACACTACTTACTGATCAGTGTCCAATCAACAATATCTACTCTAATATACATAGCATTGTTATAACGGTGGGGGAATTTAATGAGGACGTTGTCGCCTTGTTCTGTCTGCGCCTGACTAATATGCCTATCTGCTTCTGGTACCTTCGATTCAGCGAACCACGCAAATATCAAAAGACAAAGTCTGGTCTCTGACTGTATATTGTAGTACAACAACTACGACTACGACAAAGAAACTTATTTAGGAAATGGTATTTATACATTTTTACAACCAATACAGACAGCTAACAGTATTTGAAATAATCGGTCGTAATAGTCAATAACAAAATGCGTGGGAAATGATGATATATCACATATGCGAGATTAACAGTCGTTAAGATAATTGAACAATAACAAAATGCGTGGGAAATGATGATATATCACATATGCGAGATTAACAGTCGTTAAGATAATTGAACAATTACAAAGTGCGTGGGATCCTATCACCTCTCCCCATTAAAAGTGTAGGACTTGCTTTTTGAATCTGTTTGAAAAGGCTTTGGAGCTCTTCTTTGTCAAGTTGAACTTCGCGTGGTACTGGAAAGAGTGTGATCTGCGTCCCGGGATTGCCGCTGCGGAGGGATTTCGCGTATTACGTACCACTTGCAGTGTAATGCTGCATATGCTCGTAATTCAACGAAATACGCGTGAAAAGGCGAAATAACGCAGATAAACACGATTATGTGGTTGATAATGACGAGGAGAGTGAGAAGAGCAGGTCTACGTACCACTTGCAGTGTAATGCTGCAATATGCTCGTAATTCAACGAAATACGCGTGAAAAGGCGAAATAACGCAGATAAACACGATTATGTGGTTGATAATGACGAGGAGAGTGAGAAGAGCAGGTCTACGTACCACTTGCAGTGTAATGCTGCAATATGCTCGTAATTCAACGAAATACGCGTGAAAAGGCGAAATAACGCAGATAAACACGATTATGTGGTTGATAATGACGAGGAGAGTGAGAAGAGCAGGTCTACGTACCACTTGCAGTGTAATGCTGCAATATGCTCGTAATTCAACGAAATACGCGTGAAAAGGCGAAATAACGCAGATAAACACGATTATGTGGTTGATAATGACGAGGAGAGTGAGAAGAGCAGGTCTACGTACCACTTGCAGTGTAATGCTGCAATATGCTCGTAATTCAACGAAATACGCGTGAAAAGGCGAAATAACGCAGATAAACACGATTATGTGGTTGATAATGACGAGGAGAGTGAGAAGAGCAGGTCTACGTACCACTTGCAGTGTAATGCTGCAATATGCTCGTAATTCAACGAAATACGCGTGAAAAGGCGAAATAACGCAGATAAACACGATTATGTGGTTGATAATGACGAGGAGAGTGAGAAGAGCAGGTCTACGTACCACTTGCAGTGTAATGCTGCAATATGCTCGTAATTCAACGAAATACGCGTGAAAAGGCGAAATAACGCAGATAAACACGATTATGTGGTTGATAATGACGAGGAGAGTGAGAAGAGCAGGTCTACGTACCACTTGCAGTGTAATGCTGCAATATGCTCGTAATTCAACGAAATACGCGTGAAAAGGCGAAATAACGCAGATAAACACGATTATGTGGTTGATAATGACGAGGAGAGTGAGAAGAGCAGGTCTACGTACCACTTGCA